AATCTGCTGGCACTGATAAAGGACTTTGGCAAAGTCTCAGGGTACAAAATAAACGTGCAAAAGACAGTTGCTTTCTTATATACCAACAACAAACAGGCAGAGACCCAAATTAAAAGCACAATCCCATTTACGATAGTCACACAAAAAAATGAAATACCTCGGCATCTTCCTAACCAGAGAAGTGAAACGCCTTTACAATGAGAACTACAAAATACTGTTCAAAGAAATCCAAGAAGACACAATCAAATGGGAAAATATTCCATGCTCATAGATAGGAAGAATCAACATTGTTAATATGTCCATCCTACTAAAGGCAATCTACAGATTCAACGCAATACCCATTAAATTACCAACATCATTCTTCTCAGACCTGGAAATGACAATACAGAAATTCAAAGGAAACATAAACAACCACGAATAGCCTAAACAATCCTTAGCAAAAGAAACAAAGCGGGAGGTATCACACTTCCAGACTTCAAACTGTACTATAAGGCTATAGTAATCAAAACAGCCTGGTATTGGTACTAGAACAGGCATATAAACCAAGGGAATAGGATAGAGATTCCAGAAGCAAAGTCTCAATTTCTCAACCAACTCATCTTTGACAAACAGCAACCACTCATCTTTGGAGAACAACAACCACTGGGGAGAGGAGAACCTATTCAGTAAAGGGTGTCAGGGAAAATGACTGAACACATGCAGAAGATTGAAACAGGACCCTGGCCTATCACCACACACAAAAATCAACTGTAAATGGATCAAAGCTAAACATAAAACCTCAAACTATAAGAACCTTAGAAATGCAGGAGACACCCTTATGGAAATTGGAACTGGCAAACAATTCCTGATCAGAACCCTAAGGGTTCATACCATCAGAAATAAGACAGACAAGTGAGACCTCATCAAACTGACCAGTTTCTACAAAGCAAAAGAAACCATCAAGAGAGCAGGCAGACAGCCCACAGAATAGGAAAAAATATTTGCCAACTGTATACCTGAGAAAAGCCTAACATCTAGGATCTACAAGGAACTCAAATGCGCCAAAAGGAAAAAAACAGCCCCATTAAAAAGTGGGCAAAAGACATGAATAGATTCTTCTTTAAAGAAGATATACAGGCAGTCAACAGACACATGAAAAAGTGTTCAGCCTCACTCATCATCAGAGAAATGCAAATCAAAACCACATTGAGATACCACCTAACTCCAGTAAGAATGGCCATCATTAATAAAACAAACAACAACAGATGCTGGCAAGGATGCAGAGAAAAAGGAATGTCTCTACACTGCTGTTGGAAAAGCAAACTAGTGCAACCTCTTTGGAAGTCAGTGTGGCGATTTCTGAAAGAACTAGAAATAGACCTTCTATATGACCCATTAATTCCCCTATTAGGAATATACCCGGAAGAACACAAATCATTCTACAAAAAAAGATACCTGCACATGTATGTTTGTTGAAGTACTATTCACAGTAGCAAAAACATGGAAGCAACCATGCTGCCCATGGAAGCTGTACTGGATTTTAAAAAGTGGTACATATACACATTGGAATATTATGCAGCCATAAAGAAGGACAAACATATGGACTTCACAGCAACTTGGATGGATTTAGAGTTGATCATACTAAGTGACCTATCACAGAAACAAAGAACAGAGTACCATATGTCCTCACTCATAAGTGGACCTTGAACAATTGTCATAATACTATAAAAAAGGGATTGGCAGTAGTGGGAAACCGCTGGGGGAGGAGGGGTTGGGATTGGCAGTTGAGGGAAACTGCTAGGGGAGGGATGGTCACACCCCATCAACAAGGTACCTGCATATTCAACGTTTGTATACCTAACCCTGAATTGTACTCCACATCTTTAAAATAAAAATAAAAAAATACATTTAAAAAAGAACTGCTTGCTCTAAGTCCCCTCATCCCTAAGATGTTGTGAGCTTTAGACAAAAGAGAAAGAATTGAAGAAACTGCTTGTGAAAATTCTAAATCTCAGTTATACTTTCCATAGTATTCATTTCCTTTTCTCAAGGAGTTCAACACCTGTGTGCTTTGTCTCTAACTGGCCAATTGCTTAGACTGGCTTTTTCCTGTCTGCTCTCACAGTCTGGTCCTTATCATTTCTAGCTCTGCTTTGTATTCAAAGGAATCTACAGTTTCCAGTCTCCTTTGTTTTCTGGCTTCTAAGTGGATTCAGCCAATGGAAGGTCTAGACAAGATTGGAGTGGGTAAGAGGAAAGAAGCCAGGACAGGGAAGAAGCAGATAACGGCAGCTGGGTCACTTCCAGGGCTCTTACTTCTGCTTGAAGTCCTTCCTTGGTGGTCCATGCAATGATTTCATCTTCCAGAAGGTGGCCCTAGATTCTGGGCTGTGATAACATTTTCTCTTCCCCTACTGTCGTCAGCGACATCAATTGTTGCTAGTCTCTGGTTTACCTTGCCATCCTACTTTTTCCCATCATCTGTATAAATAGGAGCTATAAACTGAATTGGTTCTCCCCTAAAATTCAAATGTTGAAGCCCTACCTTCCGTTGTGACTGTATTTGGAGTAAGGAAGTAATTAAAGTTAAATAAAGGACATAAGGGTAGAACCTGAACTGATAGGATTATTGTTCTTATAAGAGGACAGACCAGAGCATCAGCTCCCTCCCTCTCCTCTTCTCCCTTCCTTTCCTTTCCCCTTCCCCCTCCCTCTCCTCCTCCCCCTCCTCACCTATCACACAAAGATAGCAAGAAGTTCAGCTGCAAGCCAGAAGAGAGCCCTCACCAGAAACTGAATCTGCCAGTACTTTGACCTTGCACTTCTTAGCCTCCAGAACTGTGAGAAAAGAAATTTCTATTGCTTAACCCACTCAGTCATCTGTATCTTGTTATGGCATCCCGAGCTGGCAAATACAGGAGTTTCATGTATTATATCCTTATTGTTTGAAACAGCTAGAGGTTTTCTCTTTTCCTGCCAATCCTTTCCCGAAGCAAGTTCCTTGTACCATTGATACTATATAATATTTATTGAACTTCTAATAGGTGCCTGCCGTGATGAAAAAGATACTTTAATATCCATTTCCCTATTTTTCCCAGTGATACTGTAAGCCATGACAAAATGATATGACATAAAAAACACAGGTTTTTTAGTTACTTAGAGTGTATCACAATTCCTCCACTTACTAGCTGCACGCTCTAATTGTTAGCTAATCTCACTAGGTCCTGGTTTCCTTACCTGTAAATTGGTCTAGTAATAGTACTGAACTAAGAGAGTTGTTGTGAATTAAGTTAGTTACTCTATGTAAAGTGCTGAGAATATTTTTAGTCGTATAGTAAGTTCTCAATAAATCTATTATTTTTATCTACATTTTATTGAGTACTGATTATATGCCAGTCACTGCAATAGTCACTGGAGATACGAAGTCAAATAAAAAGCAACCAATAGCTTCAATATACTAAGACATAAGCACATAAACAGATAATTTTGATAAAATGTAGCAAATTTATCAATAGATATATTATTGCAAAGCCAACATGATCAATAGTCAGGGTTTGGGAGGTATTAGTCAAGGTTTGAATCTTAGTTCCACCAACTTTATTCACTGTGTGACTGGGTAACTTACCTAACATCTCTAAGCCTCAAGTTTTTCACCTGCAAAATGGTAATAATAATAGTACCTACCTCATAAGAATATAGTGAGAAGAAATGATATTACAGTTTCTGGAAGATGACATGTACTCAAAGAATAGCTATTTTTATCATTAATAGAGGAAAACAGAATGAGGGTGCCAAACCCAGCCTTGGGCTCTCCCAAGTTTCCTACTCTTTAGTGCTTACTCTGATCTACTTGAAAATAACTGTCTTCCTTAATGTTTCTCCTTCTCAGAAGAAAAGATTGACTATCATACTTTTCTAGTATGAGTATAAAGTAGCACAACCACTTTAGAAAATTTCTTGACAGACTCTATTAAAGGTAAACATAAGTGTACAAAGCAGTTCCACTCCCGCCTATATACCTTGAGGTGAGTACATGTATGTACCAAAAGACACAAAAGATAATGTTTATAGTAGCTTTATTTTATAATTGTACCAAACTGAAAGCAAACCAAATGACCATCAACATAATTAATAAATACAGTGTAATATATTCATATACAATGAGGTACTACATAGCAATGAGAATATACTACAGCTACATGCAAAAATATAGATTAATCTCACAGATAAAATGTTGAGCAAAAGAAGCTAGAGTGCATACTTTATTCTTCCATTTAGAGAAAGTTCAAGAGCAGACAAGATGAGTCTATGGTCATAGAAATCAGAAGAGTGATCATCTTTAGGGACGTATTTATGGAGAGGGACACTATATTGGTAAATGTTTACCAAGAAAGAAACAGAGAGAGAGGAAGGGAGGAGGGAGGGAGGGAGGGAAGGAGAGAAGGAAGGAGGGAAGGAAGGAAGGAAGGAAGGAAGGAGAAAGGAAGGAAAAGAAAGGCCCCGAATTTATAGCATATGTCAATTTTCATGACATAGTAAATACTTCCAGTATGGCAGATTTCAAACTACCAATGTGAGTTACTAAACACACAGTTGGGAAGAGACGTATATGTGTGCAATCTGCTTTGGCAAGTATGAGCCAGCTCCAGATCCAGAAACTTATAGAAGGTTGCGTGAAGGAGCATTGTGATATGCTGCAAATGTCCTGTATTGTTTTTTCCTTCTTATTTATTTATTTAGAGATGGGGGCTCAGTATGTTTCCCAGGCTGGTCACAAACTCCTAGACTCAAGCAATCCTACTGCCTCAGTCTCTCAAGTAGCTGGGATTACAGGTGCATGTCACCACGCTCAGCTTTGTATCTTGATCTGGGTAGTGCCTACACAAGTGTATACATATTCACAGAAAAAAAATATTTTTAATCACTTTATTGTCTGTATATTATACTTTCAGAAAAAGCAAAATTTAAAAACATTTCTGAGAACTAGAAAGAAAAAAAGGGTGACCCCTTTGGGTCCCCTCCCACTGTGGGAGCTTTTCTGTCCTCTCAATAAATCCTACTTTTAAAAAAAGAAGAAATAAAGAAAAAGAAGTTATAACTGCTGTGTCCCAGAGAAAGATCCAGAAAGGTGCTAGAGAGTCAATGGTTAAGAAGTGAACACTCAGCTCTTCTTGTCCCCACAATAGATATGTAGCAAAAGAGAGACACCATGAGTAGTCATTGACATAATAGAAAAGAAATGGCTCTTCTTTTAACTGGCCCATTCTCACTTATTTCAGCATCTGACTTAATTCAGTCTTATCATCAATTGTTGATACACTGCACAGAAGAGAGTGTTGTTTCTAAAAGATCCCAGATTTGTTATCTTAACTATCTATAGCTCTGTCACTTGAAGTGTATTCCACTGGGTGGCTCTAAAAGAACATTTTAAACAAAGTACTGCCTAAACACAATGATCAGACATGGAAAAGCACCAGTGTAAACATTATTATTTTTTTATTTTGAGTAAAAATACACATTCACATTACTTGCCTATGTCTCTCAAATCTTGAATATGTTCAATATGTCTAGAAGAAATCTGTGGTATAGCTAAATGTGAAATTTTAATAGGACAGCTGTTCCTGACATATGTAGCACATAGATTTAAAGGTACAAAGTCAAAGTAAAATGTTAAAGGGTTTTGACTGATGATATCTTGACACATCCACAAATTCATTTGTTCCCAATCTGGCAAAACAGGACCATAGAAAACACCAAACCAAGGATCTAGAGAATGAAATTACAGAATTAATATGGAATGTAAGGAAAAATGCTGGGCATGTCTATAATAAACAGAAAGAGCATTGTATATGAAAAGATTCCGTATACTGACAGTTCTAATATTATTTATCTATGTCATCTCTCTTGGGAAATTAGAGGTTCCAATGGGACAAAAGAGCACTGAGAAACCTCTCTGAATTTTTTCTGTACTTTGTTTTGTTTTTTATTTGGCGTCTCAATGTGTCACCCAGACTGCAGGACAGTGGCATGCTCCTGGCCACCATAGCCTCAACCTGCTGGGCTCAGGCAATCCTTCCAAGTAGCTGGAACTACAGGCGCATGCCATCATGCCTGGCTAATTTTTTGATTTTTTGTAGAGATGAGCCCTCAGGCTGATCTTGAACCTGAGGGCTCAGGCAATCCTCTCACCTCGGCTTTCCAAAGTGCTGGGATTATAGGTTTTCTGTGTTTTAATCAACATTTTTTAGCTGGCTAACCAGCCTCTAACCGGCCCTATTTAATTGTGCAGTAGCAGCTGCCACCAGAGGACCCTCTCCCTTTTCTGGAATACATCATTCTTCTGTTAGGCATCTCACTTAAAGCTCTGGAGAGCTCAGGTCTCTGGGGGCTAAGTATACCTATTGCTTCCATTAAAAAGTTATGATCATCTGGTTTAAATCATCTGCATAAAAATCAAGGAGTCTAGAATTTCTCTCACCATAGTTTCAGGCATTGCCAAGAGGGATGAAAAAATGAAGTAACTTTTTTTAAAAAAAGTTTCTAAACTGTGGGGAATAGCTTAATTCAGGAATTTGCTTTGAAGTGAAAACACGCAGCTGAAAATCTAGGGCATAATTTCCATCTCATTAAGTAGCTGGTTCAAGAATAAGGCACTCCAAACTTGTTCTAATTGGCTTCGCACTTGGAGGCTTACACACCGTGTCATTGATGTAGAAATGATAGAGAAGACCTGTGTATACTACAAGTGATCGAAAATTTCCTTCCCACCAGCCTCCTTGGAAGGGAGGCAGGAGAAGGACAAAACACCATTTATGCTGAGTCATCTCAAATGCTCCCACTGTGTTGAGACTTACTGCTGACTAGTACTTTCCTGGAAATGTAATTCTGTTGAGAAGTGCTACCCAATATTTCTTCATGCTTAAAAAAAAAAAAAAAATGACACCAATTCTCTGCAAATGTAATAATTTTCATACAAAATGTTCTAAAATTCAGGACTCAAGTGTAGTCTTTTTGCCTTGATCCCTAACCTTCAGTCTGAAGGACAGGTATCAGGAAAGAATAAAGAAAATGGGCGAAATAATGGGATAAGGCAGCTATGGTCTTTCATTGCCACAACCTCAAGTTAGAAGCCTGCCATTCATCAGTGGACTAGACAGTTAATATTATACTTTCTTGCATTTTGCTGTCTCTGAAAAGAGCATTTATCATTGCTCAGAAAAGTAGCAAGTAATTAAAAGAGATTTATCATTGTATAATGAGTGTTAAGACTCATAATGAACTTGCTAAGAGGTATGCACAGGTTCTTATATTTTGAGTTGTCTAAAAAATGTAAAAATTATCATTTTTCTTTTAACTGCTTTATCTTTAGGAACTCCTGTCAGGATAACTTTTATTTATAACTATTAGTGTGTAGACTTCTTAAAACAAATTAAACTGCTGATCTTTTTTGGGCTTATAAGTTACTATAGTCAAATAAGGAGAGATATGATAGTCTATTTTTTAAGTTGCAATAATAATTCCCAAAAATGTCTATAGATAAATTTTTATAGAATAAATCATTTTGCATAAATTCCTAGCATCCAATGTGAGAAGAATTCCTCAGTTATATAATCTTAATAGAGTCTTGCTGTCTCTCATATTATAGCCAAAGGCATTTTCAAGAATCTAAATACATCTAATAGAAAATAAAATTACTATTCGCCTGGCTCATCAAAGCCTTTGCCTAAACAGAATAACATCAAAGGTCTAAAGGTGAGAGGGCTTTTTTTTTTTTAAATATCATATTTTTCTGTGGGGATGATCTGAATGTATTTTCTGCAGAAACATATTTGCCTTTGTATTGTTAAAGATATTTATTAGAGGAATTTTTCTATCTTTTTGTTTTCTTGAATTTGAAAACAGAAGGGAGATGAACCTAAATGTTAGGCAACTCGTACTAATGACTATAAGACAGACTAATGTGTGTCTTTTGAATACATTTTTATAGATCAGGTATCAGAAGACTGTTTTCAAAGCTCTTTTTTGAATAAAGATAGAAAGAATATAGAGTAATTTTCTTTCTCTTCAAACCCTAGAGAGATGGCACATTTTAGACTTAGAAATGAAACAAAAAGCAATCAGTTTTTTGAACCAATTATTTATCATACCTACAGACAGTCTAGAAATCACACTTAATTTAACTGATCTAATTTTAAAAACAATTTTTTTTATGATAGTACCACATAAACTCCATACTTATAGATTACTTTACAGAGGTTTTTATTAAGCCATTTCTCTGTTTACATCTTTAGAAGGACCAACAAAATATCTAAACATGTTACAAAACATGGAGTTTATCTATTACATAAGATACTGAAATGCACTATTCCTCTTATAATCTTATTTTCCATTATATGTATTTAGAGTCTTGAGAATGCCTTTGGCTATAATATGAGAGACATTAATCTCCCCAATTGAGAATGTCCTTATTTTTTCTGGTTTTGCTTTTGAGAAGCTTCCTAAAAGCATCTGTGATTTATAGCTAGTCATAGTCAATTGTTCAAATTTGGGTCTAATATGAAATTTAACACAGGTCTAATTCATTTAAAGTCTGCTCTACCAATATATGTGTGCATGTTTTCTGTTTACACATGTATGAGTATATATATATACATACACATGATTTATTACCTCCATAGCTATTAGCTTTTAAATTTAAATTAGCATAAGCCTAGAATACAAAGCAAAGAATCAAATAACATTTTGCAAAAGACAGAATCAAGAGAAATAGACCTAATACCTAGCACCATTTGACCTTGACCATATATTAGATCTAAAGAAAGACATCCATAACCCGCCAACAAAGAATGCTTCATATTTAGAACTGTTTATTTGGACTACAAAAAGGTAATACTCAACAGCACAATTTGCTGCTAATAGTCCCTAGTCTTTCTTTAATAGTTTGTTGGGAAATTCCACCAGTAATCTAAATGACCACTTAGAACACTAAATTGCTTCAATCCCAGCTAAAATTTCTTTCTGGCAGTGATGTGGCCAAGTAAGACACAGAAAGCTACCAGAAAGCCCAAGGAGGACATTGCACAGCATTCCTTGAGAGTGAAGTGCAAGTCGCTCAGCTGAGCTAAACAGTCCTCAGAGGCATTAAGTAGGAAGATAATTCACATCATTAGAATTCTTGCTAATACTTTGAAATAGGATTGTGAGTGAATCTGACTCACTTGATATCTAAATTACCCAAGATCTGGGGTGATTCCAAAAATGCTTCTCTAAAACAGTTCTAATTCATCTTCTTGGCAAAGAGTTTTAGGCCATGTAAGAAGTATCTTTCAGGTTCTAAAAAAGTCATGCAAAAAATTCCATCAAGATAAAAATCCTATACAGAATATTTTTCCAACATCAATAATTAAATTGATGAGAATAATACATAAGCCTCAAGCAGAGCTTCCTGGAAAACATCTCCAAGTGAGTCCATAGTACTTAAGCTGAGAAAATCAGAGTTCACTCTCTCTAGTTTTTAGAACTTGTTTGATTTCTCTAGCCAGAATAACAGGAAAACAGTTTCCCACACTCTTGAGTTCAGTTTTTGTTTTCTGTTTCAAAATCAGGGTGAGAAATAAGAAATTGTAAGGGTTGTATTTCTAACTTTTAAAATACTTAACTTTTATGCTTTAATTTAAAAAGGATATCTGGGACTAAGAACTGTGCGAACATTAATTCCTTTTTTTATCTCCTGCAGAGAGGTTTTTTAGAAATAATAGCTCAAGCCTTGCTCAGTTCATAGGACTGCAAACCCCTCCTCAGATACAGGCTAATTGAGGGAGGTGCTGGGTCTTGGGCACTTGTTATCCAGTGCTTTTCTAAAACACCTGTTTTGTTGTTGTTATTTGGATTCACCATAAATATTTGTTAGAAGAAATAATGAATAAGCAAGAGAATGAATAGAATCAATAATATAAGATTATACTGTACCTCAATAACTGCCAGTCCAAATGCTATTCCAATAACTATGATAATATGTTTTGCCACTAAGTCTTTTATGAAAGAAATACACGGCTGTTAAAAAAAAACATAAAAAGTTACCTTTAATAACATTTTTACCATATATTAACAGGATGTTTAATCATTTGGTTGACTTTTACATTGCTACCAAATAATGTACTCAACAAAAAAGAATTGGATGATTCCCTCTGTTTCTTGTTTCACTCCAAAAGGTGGTAACTGTTGAGGTTTTTTTCATACATTAAAAGGTATTTGAGGAGCAAATTTTGCTCAACTACCTAATTGCTGAATCTAGCGATCAATCATTATAAATAATAATTTTTCACCAATATGATCCCAAATTATAAATTTTATAGTTTATAAAATTATTAATAATAATTTTATCCTAATTTTAGATTATTCATTTTAGAGCTGATATCATCCTGACTATAAATCTTTTAGGCTCGTAATCTGCAGCAGAGAGGTTCCTGGTTGAAATTTTAAGCTAATTAAATTGCAAATTTTTGTTTTTAAGATAAGGCATTTAAAAATTTCTTAATATTTATCAAGGTTGTTCTTACACTAAAAAGAAAAAAATCACTGTGTTTACCATTATGTCAACACTTTATATTTTTTAAAAAAAGACTTTAGAAGATTGTCTCTCTGCTACATATTTTGAAATGTATTCAATCCGTCATGTAATTTCAATCTTAAAACATTTTGGATAAGACCTAAAAATTTCAAAAGTTATGAATTATAAGGATAATTTTTTAAATAGAAAAATGCTATACAATGTAATAGTGCTATTTCTGTATTGCCATAATATATACCATCCTTTTGATAATTATATATGTGCAAAGGACTAACAAAATATTGCTATTTGTTAAATAAAATTAAAATCTCAAAAAAAGTATCCATAAAGCTAAGTAGTTTTTCTTCTTCATACCTGAATGCAATGAGTTTCTCCATTCACATCTGATCCAAAGTGGTAAACATTCAATGAAATTATTATGTCATTTTGGGTTGACTATGAGATTAATGATTATATCTATTGAGTCACATTCATTGTATCTGAGGGGTTTTCTTTCCTTCTTCCTCCCAAGATAACAAGGTTATCTTGGCAAAAAGAAAGGGAAAAAGAGAAATGTGAATTATGGCATTCCAGATTTTTTATTTTTCCAAACGGCTTGCAAATGACACACGGCAGATGGAAATATTTTATGAATTTATGACTTTTTCTTTTGGGAAACTGCTGCAGCTTTCAGTCTATGTTCAGCTGAATTATGTGTGAACTTGTAGGGAATATCTATTATTATGTTTTTGAGATAATTCTAGTGGCTTTTCAGAATCTTTCTTGAGGAAAAACATCTTTGAGTTGAATCTTTAACAGAAGACAGGCAGCAATCTCCAATTGAATTTACTAATGTTCTCATTATTCTAAGTGGAAACTATATTTATCTGCACTATATTTATTTCTTCGTGTCCATGTGGCTATTACATCACTAAAATTAGGTAGAGAGATAAGGAAGGGAGAAAATATAAAAAGTAAGAATAAAACATTTTTAGTGATATTGTAGAAGACTTCTTGAGATACTCTAAATATTAGTGATATGAGTTACTTTAAGTATTGATGACAGCAATTCTTCTCAGAACAGAACCTCAATTTAATAAGCTCAGTGAAGAAGATCAGTAGTCAAGAGAAGGGAAGTTTCCTCATAGATACTTTTTATTTCCTTTTCTATATTAACTTCAATAGGAGTTACTAAACCAAAATAATACTAGATTGAAAATAATCTTCGGGTATTATAGAAATTAATTCATTGTGGTTTATAACAACTTTTATGTATCTCTTTCAACTAAATTATAATCTCCTAGAGGATTCGGAATCATATCTAATCCTGGCAAAGTTTGTCTGATACATAGTAGTCACTGAAGAATAACAGAAAACAAATAAAACACTAATATTAATTGTCATTTTTGTACACATTTCTTCTAGACAGAAGGAACAGCTTAAGTAAAACCCTGTGGTAAGGAATAGATGTTGTGTCCTCCATGAAAACATATCCTGAACCCCAAAGACCGAGTTAGATTAGATCCCATAACACCTTGTTCCTAGAACTATCCAGGGAACACCACTGGACTGAAGTTGCTTGACTATCTTTCTCTCTTTCTTATTTAAGCAAAAATTTCATAAGTGCAGACATTGTACCCTATGCAGGAATGGATTTCTTGTCACGAAGGTTTGGCACATAGGTGGTGGTTCATACATCTTTGATGAATTGATCAATAACAAGAAATAAGACATTCATGTATTGACATCCATAAGTCACATAACTATGACATCTACAGCACATAAAAGATTATATTTTCTTTTTCAATTGACTTCAAGTGTTTGAGGCAACTGAGTTCAACTTATGCAGACTTAAGAAAGGACTCCAAATTCTTTCCAATATACTTATTGACTTGGGTTCTGCATGTTATTAGTACCTATCAATTTCCCTAGTTAGTACTACAATTAAGAAGTTCTGGAGAAAGAAAAAAATCTCATTTCTGAGAAAAGGAAATTTGATTAGAAAAAAAACTTTCACATTTAAAATTAAAATGAAACTGTTCTAGAATTTATGTTAAAATAGAAAAAATAAAGAGAAGATAATGATTAAGGTCACCAAAGAGAGGACAAAATAAACTTTTATGTTAATTTGTACTTTGCCTCCCCTTGCAGTAGAATGTTTCTTTGATCTGTTAAAGTTGGGTTTAAATGATGCCAGAGTCATAAAAGAAATGAAATACTTTCAATTATATATATATTTACCTTTAAATAAGGATTTCTTTTTATTTGGGAAATTCCTGAGATTTTTATTTCATGATTCCCATTGTACTTCCTGCAATTTAAGTTTTTGTAGAAACTTTCATTGTGAAAAGAAAATAACAGAACCACTTATTGTGCCAAGTTTGATTTAGTTCTCACCTGTTTGTAAACATGTTTTCCTTCATAAGTTATGCAAGAAGAATCTTGCATATTTGAACATTCACATGACTTGTAATGTTGTAGGAAATTATTTCCCCAATCAGCAGCTCCATTGACCAAACCACAGCATTTAAACTGTTTGAATGAAGGTAGAATGAAAAGCAGCCATTAAGAACATTTAAAAGGCCAATACATTAAAGAACAATCTTTTTGAACCATTATTAAGATGTTTCTTGTGCAAAAATACTTTGTAAGTCACTTTGTCCACCTATCTAAATATAGAAGCAAAAATTAAGAAATTTTCATGTTGGTCTTCATATTAATGATGGAAAAATGGGAATGCAGATGCAAAAGTCTGAGGCACTAAGAAAGAAAATAAAACACTCACCTTCTAGTTGTAATGACAAAAGAGAGGGGTAAAGTCAGATCTGTGTATTTTAGATTTTGACAAAGAAGTTTCCAAAGAGTTAACAAGATAGTCAAATCGATTTCATTAAGGAATTTTTGCTCAAAGATATGAGAAGTTTTACAAACAAAATTTCCATCCATGATCTTCGATCACTTTGAAGGTGAAGAGAAAAAAGATGAGAGGCATTGCAAAGACCAAAAAAATTCTCAAGGAATTTTCCATGAGATTGAATTTTATGAACATTTTTAAAATATGGGAGGGTATACAAGTGAAGGATGAAGCTCTTATAATGTCAGAAAAACTATGGTCCAGAATAAATTAAAACACGAAGAAACACTAAGGAGAGAGGAAAGAGGATTTGTGGCCATATCTGAAGAAGAAAAACAAGAAAGTGATAAGCCCATTGACTCAGGAACTATGGCACATAATATTATTAGATGAGAGAACAAAAGATAATTATCCCTTATCTTGCTCCCATCCACTCTATTAAGGAGAAAATTCTTCAGGCAGAAATGGTAGGGAAAAAAACTGCTGAAAAACACAGAACCAAAACGAGGTGGTTTTTCTGGTTTAGGTACATTGCAATGCCAAGATAGTGAAAGAATTTTCATTTACTAGCTGCATGTTACCCATGTTGATCAAATCTCTCTGTGCCAAATCTTCTTCATCTGTAAAATATAGATAATAATAGTTGCTAATAATAGCATCTAATTTGCAGGTTTGTTGTGAAGATAAAAACAAGAAAATTTATGTGAAGATATGAAGGGCTTAATCTAGTCCCTGGTTTGAAGAACGCACCCAAAGATGCATTAGCTGTTTTTGCTGATGTTTATTATTGTTGATTTTTTCTGTTATTCTTTCATATGAACATGATCTGTTCAGCACTGTTTCAATGATTTGGATAAATAGAAAGTATTGTTTCAATTATGTAGCTGATATGGCGCTAGGAGTGATGATTCACGTGCTGGAACACAGAATCACATTTCAAAGATAGTTCAAACAATGGATTTAAACTAGCAAATTCAACCGAGGCAGATATAAAGTCTCACACTTTGGCCCAAAGACTGAATTGCACAAAAATATGACTCAACAGGGGAGGGGGAGTGGGATTGGCATTTGAGGGAAACTGCCAGGGGAGAGAGAGGCACACCTCATCAAAAAGGGTACCTGCATAATCAACGTTTGTATACCTAACCCTGAATTGTACCCCACATCTTTATAATAATAATTTTTAAAAGAAATAGAAAAAATATGACTCAACAGATGTTTACATGACAAAGAGCTAGAAATTTCAGTTGGTTCCAAGGTCAATATTAGCAAGGAGGGCAATCTTGAAACAATCTCCCTTCCTGTTCCTGTGGTAGACATGATTAACTTCTCACTCTTTCTGATTACATAATCTTGAATAGCATTAATTGGTGCAGACTCTATCAAATAGCATATAAATTCCACCATACACATCCACAAATTCATCCATACTTGAAATATAATATACCTCAAGACTGCTTAAGAATGCATAGAGACATCTTACAGAAGACAGGTAGGAAGTAGGAAGGCTAAAGCTTGTCATTATTTTGGGGCAAGAGATCAACAGTGGGAGCAATTAGGGAAGAAGTTAACCAGGACTTATTGAACGTGGTATAACAGCTGGGTGAAAAGAGGCACTACACAATAAATGATACAAGACAGCTAGACAAATACTCATCACCAATAATCTAAGAAAGGCACATTTCATCAGAATATTGACAGGGAATTTGTGTGGGGATTCCTTAAAATTCAAAGAGAAAGTCACGCAGCATCAGCAACTTCTATCCAGCCGGAGTCTGTGATAGAAATGTTTTCCCAAAGAACTAAAAAAAAGAAAGCCATAGTAAAGAAGGAGGAGGAGGAGGAGGAGGAGGAGGAGGAGGAGAAGAAGAAGAGAAGGAGGAGGAGGAGGAAGAAGAAGAAGAAAGAACAAACTCAGTGTGATAATAAAAAGATATAGGACCTGATAAACACAAGGGGCTTCAGGCATAGGATTTCTGAACAGAATGGGAACACTTCAGGAGAACATGCTACCACAAACAAAACATTTATAAACCCACAGTTGGCACTGAGATCTGAAATCCCAGGAAGGTTGTTCAGCAAGTGTGACTCAGGACCCAACCCAGAGGCCCACTGATTACCTACAGTACATTTTGTCCTAGGTCAACACAATAGGAGGGTCAATGATGCTTAGTCTCACCCAGTAGAGAGACTGAGGCTGCCTAAATTTTTCCGGCTTTAAGCCTGTATTAGAGGAGATGATCAAAGAATACAGCTATGGGGAAGCTAGGAAAAGCATAACACAGAGGAAGTTAAACAGGGACTGACCCATATCAGGTTTTGGCTCTTGGAAACAATGCTTTAAGCGGAATTTTTACAAGCTGGAGTTTATCCAAGTAGGAACTGGTGAATGTTCTGGGGGAAAAAAATGTCATCTGATAAATAGCTCAAGAAACCAAGGATGTTTCAACTTGAAAAGCAAAGCTTTTAGGAGTCACACAATAGCTATTTTCAAAGAAAAAATTGGTCATGTAGAGAAGCACCAATAGATTTTCTTTTTCCTCTGAAACTGTGGAAAACCTAGGACTAAATGATGCAAATTCCAGGGAGGCAGATTTTGTTTCAAATTAAGAAGGGGCACACTAATTATCAGACTTGTATATTAGTGGAATGGGCAAAAGTTGGTAAACTTTCAGCTCCTCAATTGTTAATTTGAAGGTGGATGACTATAAATGCAAAGTACTTTAATCAATGACAAGTCAAATTAAATGACTGATAAAATTCAGGCCCTACCATAAGATTCTGAGAAGTTCCATGACATGCATGAAGTGAATGCTGCGTGTTGTTAATATGATAAGAATTCTAAATAAAGATGGTGTGGGTAGGAGGACTTCCACAGAATAACTAATATTTTAGTCAAACTTTAAGGAATATGTATTCAGAAAGAAAGGGAAAAGTAATAAGAATATTCCAAGGATGGAGAATGATGTAAAGACAGGAAGGCAGACTTGTTCAAGGGAACCTGAGTAGACAAATCTGACTGGACTAGAGTGTTTTCTTTATGAAGTAGTGTTTAGTAAAGTTAAAAGATTGGGTCGGAGCCAGATAGTAGAATATCTTCAATGCCTACCTATATTTTGACTTTACCCTAGAGAAAAGAAAAAAAAAGAAAGGATAGTGTACTGATATTAAAATAATAGCCTGGTCAGACAGATGTGGGTTCAAATTCCAACTTCACCTGGTAGCTGTCAGATCTCTAAATCCTAATCTCCTCATCCATAAAATAGGTTTAATGAGGATAATGATATTACTCATATCATAGAGTTGTTGTGACTATTAAATGAGCTACTGAAAGTAAATCCTGGTACATACTAAGTGGCAATAAATGTTAGCTATAATTATTTTTATGAGAGAGGCAAAAGAGATAGAGATAAAGAGAGAGAGAGAGAGAGTTTAAATCCCCAAACCCACTGCTCTTCTAAAAGGGCAAATATTACAACAATTATTTATTTGACCCAACTGAGACTGAACCTGTCATGAAAGTATCTCCTTGATCTTTCCTTCTAAACTGCTTCAGAATTTTATACAAAGCTACAGAATAATTACAAATACCCTTGGATTTTTCTTATTGTATGTTGACAGAATAATCTTCCAAAATCTCCCAAATTGAGACATTTTTATAAATATTTAACTAATATGTCAGCAAAAATTAAAAACAGAAGAACTATGTCCAACTCCCTAAATGACCAACAAATTCTGATTACCTCTTCTTGAAACTCAGTCAGGGTTTGCTGGAATGCTTTTGCACTCTCATCTGTTTCACTCAAAATCTTCACATTTTCATAAAGTGTTTCATTCAGAATGCGATCAGACTGAAAATAGAAAAGTTATTGTTACATTATTCATGCCAAAATGTAGCATTTCAATGTTTCAGACTTTTCCAAAAATGATCAAATATCTGTGCACACACCTCAGGTTTGAAAGCAGCTCCTAGGATACCTGCCAGAACCTGCAGGATCAGTATCAGAAGTAAGCCTATGAAAAACTGGAAAAAAAGGGGGTGGGGGCGGGGGATGGAGAATATATATTATTTTCAGTGCATTCAGTAATATTTGGGGTTTGCTCAAGAGGGCACTTCTCTCCATGACTGAGATCATATCACAGGTGGAATTTCAGTCACACTCCATTTATTCTGCTTCCAAACTGCAAATTTTAGTTCTATTACTACTCAGAAACATTTGCTTCAAAGACTAATCAAGGAAAGTGATCCTAACAAAAATTTGATAGAACTATTGATATCTGCATGATAGTGAATGGAGAGAAATTTGAAAACGTAGGTCAACTTATTTGAATATTATTGTCTTCTCTATCTTTATCAAACACAAACTCAGAACTGACATCAAAACAGCATTTCCACCACTATCAGTGTCTTGTGCCCACCTTGTGTCTTGTCTTATACATAGATTCCTGAAATCTGCCTCAGAAGTAACTGAATTATAATTTTGAAGGATGCAGCTCACAGGTTAGCTTTTTAAAAAACAGTTCCTCTAGTAATTAATTTCCCCAATTGCAGATGAGGTTTTATTAATCAAAAAGCCATGACTAGAGATGCCATTAAAGTTCTGTTAAAACTCTATCTCTACCTTCCTTCATAATAAGCAGTTAAAATTTTTTTTAAACTGACACAATACCTTATTAGAGAAACAAATTTAGATTAGTTCGGATAAACTCTAATGTCATATTTATGTCTGATAATCACTTGATTTTTTTGAATGTTTTTACTCTATTTATTATTTTCTACTAAATATGTTAAAAATGAATACTCATGGGTTATCCCAACCCAATCCATCCTCTTTGACGTTTTCTAAGTGACAAATCTGATTATCTTACTTCTTTACCATTTTCTTAGCATGGCATATAGGACACTTTGTGATGTGACCACAGTCTACCCTTGGACTCATCTCCTATCATTTACTAAAAACAGCTCTGCCAGTCTCCAGTCATATCCAAGGCCTCTTACCTCCCAAACATGCCAGTGCTGTAGCTATCAGATTCTTTTCCTGGAGAGTTCTTCATACCTTCATCTATACCAACACCTCATGCACTTCTGCCCTGGCTTCAAAGTTCCCTTCTCTATCTTGTTCTTTTCTTCTGGAGCCACTCCCACTGCAGCTGTTTGCTTTCTTATTAATCTTTCCTAGTGGGTTCTAATTGTCTAAAGGTCTTATATATCATTTAGCACAGTATATGGCACATAGAGGTACAGCAATCATGTTGAATGAATGAATGCATAAAGAGATGAATGATTCAAATGTGTCTCCTCTCAGAGTACCCTCTACTCTAAGCCAAACCAAGCCAAATCTAAACCATAGTAACCTCCACAATCAAACTCTCTAAACAGAGAATAGTTTCATCAATTGTGCAAGTTATTTTGACAGACAATGGGGATGGGAGATAATCCTTAGGAGTCTGAAAGTTTGACATTGAGATTTGTCTGGAGAACTCACCAAGAGAAGCATGCAACGGCTTTCTTTCATGGCACCACAGCATCCCAGGAAGCCTAGAATCATGATGATGGCACCCACAGCAATCAGGATGTTCACAGCAACATAGGGGTTAGTGCCAGAACTTTCAGAACTGATAATCTGGAAATAAAAAAAGTTTAGTGGCAGAAAATCCTTTTCCTTGGAGTTTATTTTCCTCATTCAGCAAATATTCATTGAGTACCCACTATGTGCCAGGCTCTGTTCTACAGCCTTGAATTACTTTAGTGATCTTAACAAGCACAAATCTCTGTCCTCATGAAGTTTAAATTCTCTTGAAATGTTACTTGCCTGAATAATGTTTCCAATCTTATATAGTTCTACAATTATGTGTTGGAAGTTGAATGAAAGAAATGTAGTCAGTTTTTTAAACATCATTTTAAAAAGCTTATTTTACACTTCTTGATGTGATCTTTGGTTCACATATTTTTGCTTTATGAATAAAGCAGCTTATAAAGCATGTGTTTTATGGTAATTTAACCCTTTAAATTAAAAAGCCCAAGTTCCTCAAACTACTGATAGACACAACAATATAAATGAATCTTAGAATCATTATGTTGATCTGAAGAAGTCATATAAAAAAGAGTAAATACTGTATGATCTTATTTACATAAAGTTCAAGATTAGGCAGAACTATGGAGATAAAAATTAAAGCAATATTTGACTTTGAGCAAGGTAGAAGGGAAGGCAGGAATTGACCAAAAAGGGACATAAGGGAACTTTTATGAGTTAATAAAAATGCTTAACATCTTTATCAAAAAAACAAAAACTAAGTCCAATTCCTGATATGTTACATCAATTCTATCTCCTTGATCCTAGAAGATATAGTCCATAGGGTCTCCCAGAAATTCTTTATTTTGCCTGACTTTTGGGTAATGGGATATTGAAGCATCCCAGGGCCTTTTATGGTGGATAGACAACCCTTTAGGCATAATTCAGTTCTTCTCCCTTCAACACACACGTATGCTTCTTCATTACCCTCATAACACCTAGCTTCTATCTTACCACTTGTCCTCCATATGTGTATAAAAGTAAATCACAATTAAAAAGTGAAACTTTGTGGCTTTGTGATGCATAAGTGTAACATGTAGCCCATCTATCTCCCATGACCTCTATCTACTAGGTTATCTATCTCTAGACAGAGCACTAGTTCCTAGACTAACTCAAAGACTCCTTCTAGAATCTGTTATACAGTATTAGGTCAGCTCCTTTACCAGTCAATACAAAAATGACTGTTACTACTGATGATATTTTTGTTTGAGAAAACTTTTTAAATTCACTCAGGGTCTAGAGGAAACCTTTATTCAACATTCACTAAGAAGAAATGTGCCAAAGTTATAAAAGCATTAAGATAAACATCTATATTTCAATCAGAGTCCTAATAAATAATTAAATCTGTAACCCTGAGACAAACAACTCATTGGAGCCCATTTTCCCTTTTATAACAGGGAATTGGGTCAGCTTCTGTGCTAAGGCTTCCTTTGTCTCTAAAAGTCTATGCTTACAGATAAGGTTTCAATTTACATATTTTGAAAGTTTAGTTATGTCCTAAAGATTTTGTTTGTTCTAGAAGTTTTTTGTTTATTGCTTTTTGTTTGTTTGCTTGCTAAGATTAGAGCTAGAATATCAGTTTTGTTAATATACAGGCATGACATCTGGGTCAAAAGAGGTGTGAACAAAAAAAGCAGCATTAGGAAACCAGCTCTATTGACTCACTGCTAAATACTGCTTCATTAGAATATTGTGGCCAGTATCAACAAACCCTAAGAGAGGGCAGAAACCTCATTAATAAGTTACCAGAACTTAGGACAGATATCCCAGACATAGAAATAATATATCAAAAATCTATATGTGAGGCCTGGAGAGTGCAGCCAGCACTTGTGCTGGAGGTAGTAAGGCACTTCTATGAGATTGGCCCAGGCAGTGTGACCCACTGCCAGAGAATAGCCAGAAAGTAGTGTGTTGACTGCCTGTAGTCACTGTTCCAAGTCCAACCCAACAAGTGGCTATTCTTATTCAAGAATGAAGTGGAAATCTGAGTTCAGATGTTTGCGCCAGAAGAGGCACAGCAGGGTTTGAAAGGCTGTCTTGAGTGAACACTGTGTCCCGTGTGTCTTAAGACAAGGGGAGAATTTCAAAAAAAAAAAAAGAGAGAGAAATGACTGAGTCTGAAAGAGGAGGATTCAGAATCCTCTCTGGATCAGAAAATATCTCCAGGGTGGCTGCTCATATTCTTTGCTCATGGCACTGAGTTTATTCTGAGGTGGGAAAATGTGTCCCTGTGAGACACTAGAGCAGAAAGAACTGTCACTTCCCTGTCATTCTCCTCCTGTGTTTATGCTCATGTTTTTCCTTCTAGAACTGTGATCTGTTTTCCACTAATAAAATTCACCTCTTTGCTCAGTCTTGATTCTTTGTCGCTGCCACTGACTTCAGATAAATCTAAATCAAGCCAATTTTATATAAATCAAGCTGGCTGATGTTGTTCTGGAGGATACCAGCTTTTGTTCAGGGTGACAGACTGACAGAGCTTGAGTCCAAATGTAACTAAAGTTGCTGTCTAGCTCTATTAATTCATTCTTACCCCCAGATGTAGGGTAGCACTCTCTCAAGGACAACAGTTCTCCTTTAATACATTCAATGTGTGTAATTTCTTAGCAGACTAAACACCAAGTTTGTTTACCAGAAGCACTGGGAGGGAAAGAAAATATCAATGGGAAATAAAATAAGAAAATAAAATGCAGGCTGCATACATATCTTTAAAAAGCCAAAGCATCCTGTGAGTAGGCAGCTGTTAATCTCTGTGCTTAATTATGAGTCCCAAAATCAGATAATAGATTCTATACAATGGAAGTTCTGCACATCTTCAAATATTCTTCTTGGACTCAGATACCAGAACCCCAGGTCATCAGGAGGTCTCAATTACATTCTCAGTATAAAACAATAGATGAAGCCCTGATGGGCGAAGATGTCACCAGCAAGTTGACATACCCGTCTCCCACCCAGTTTCTTCCCTGTGGTGGAGCACAGAATGAGAAGCAACAAATTGCCACTAGGACTCTGGATTCTCTAGGGATAGAAAGCAAATTTTAAAAGAAAAAGAAAGAAAGAGAGAGAAAGAGAAAGAAATACATTTTTCAGAAAAACCACCACTTTAGAAAAGGAAATAGAACAGATGTTAATTCGCTTTTAATCTTTCTTTCTACTAGGCTGTGTCCAAAAACATTTAGCTGCATCATATTGCAATAAGTTTCAATAGAAAATGTGTTGTCTCAATGACTGGCTTAAAAATCTCTTGATAATTATCAACGAGGAATCAAAATTCTTCTCAGGGAGGCGAAACTCTATTTGTATAAGTACATTGAAAAGGCTCTAAATCTACAAGATGTAGTCCAGAATTGTGACAAGAGCCCAGACAACAAAGAAGAACAGGAAAATCGTTCTGCATGAGGTAAATATAGTAATTTGGGAGAAAGACTATCCTGAAAAGAAGAGGGGAGGGAAAACAATAGAAGCAGGAGAGGCAGGAAATGGTGGTAGGCTGACATCATATTGGGAAAAACCAACAAAACAACCCTCCCAAACCTTGCTCCCTTCTACCTTCCCCTAGCTCTTTCCACATTTGTGACACTGTGATATAGAAACAGTACATGTAAATATCAAATGCCGGAGTCAGAATTAACCATATGAAATGAACCTCATGTAGACTTGTGATTCTTGGTAAGAGCTTTGTCACTGGACAAGAAATGATGTCTGGCGAAGGGAAATGAGTATTTTTAATTTTGGGTAGATAGCAAGAAACTGGACACCCCCAGCCAGCTACTGAGTGAGTGATACCAGCACTATCAGTTTCTTATAGTTATACTACCATAATCGGCCTCTAATTGTTGCAGTGATTAACTTCAATGCCAGTTACTACAGGTAAATACCAACTATCCTTATATATTATTGCCTTTAAAACACATTCAAATTCTCCCTCTCCAAGAGAACTTTTTACCTTCTTTTCTTTGTGACCAAGATCACCTTGAGATCAACTAAATTACTATCAACAACATCTATAAAAATTGTTCTTGATGGGGTTGAGATGTGGCCCATATCCTCAAGCTGTACATCAGGCTGGCCTTAAATAAATAGTAAAGGCAGCAAATTTCCACCTATGTTTTCACTGAAATCTTTCTTTTTTTTTTTTTTTGGAATAACACCTCCTCCGTTCTCTAGAAGGACTGTTCCTTGCCTAGCATGGTGCCATACACAGAGTAAGTAATTTTGATCGATTGAATTGAATTATAAAATCACTTACCAGCACAAATGATTGCATGAGGCAGTCAAAAAATACTTTAAAATGTTTATTATTATTATCATTATTATAAGAGAAATAAACGATTTGAGGGCAAGGTGGCTTGTATTTATATATTTACCTCTTGACCATCTTTGCTTACTCGTATCCATATTGCTATTGCCAGGATCAAGATACCACATAGCTGCAGGAAAAAAATACAAAAAAATTTAGAATACAATTAAGATCAAATGAAACTTTAATTTCACACACTCCTATTCATCTGATAACAATGGTTTACTATTAATTATAGCATTACAAACTTAAAGACATAAATGAGGTATATTCATAAATAGATAATAACTGAAACGCTCCATTGTAATTTGTAAGTTTGATAAAAATAATTCTATTACTCATTCATAGTCCATTCACAGGTCTGTGGACAAATCATATCCTTTATTCCGGGAAAGATTATTTTCCATATTTTAACTCTAGCTGTGTTACTGCTCAACTTTAGGATACAAAATATAAGTCACAACCATTTAAAGAAGAAAATAGCCTTATCATGCCCCTGGGTTTGTCTCTGAGAAGCTATGTTGGACCAGGAAAAAAGAGAATAACCGACTAATCACCAAGCATTCATTCAAGAGCCAAGAGGGAGGCAAAGTCGGAATAGACAGGAACAGTAGGGCATTTGACAAAATTTGCAGTTTAGCAACAAAGGTGTATATGAATCAACACTTTTTGAACCCAAATAAACTTTCTTGAAAACAAGTTCTTTTAGGTGGTAAAGTTTACTCAGAGAGAAGGAACAATGAAGAACAGTACTTAAAGTCTTAAATTCCTTTAATGACTTTACCAGATTATTTAATTTGGACCAATGCCAACACATAAAATGTAAAACACATTTTGCTTTAGTGTAAGGAAAACTCTCGTCTTCCAAGGTTAAAAAAAAGATATATATTGTGGCCTCAAAAAAAAAAAATCAAAGCTCTATTATTAGATAGAGATGTTAAGAGCAGGCCTGGTAACATACCAGACACAGCAGGCTTTGGAGGACTTTCTATAGGATTCTGACCTTTCCATGCACTGAAAGAGAAATGTCTGAGTCCTGCAAACCCAATGTTCTTGGGGTGTCATTGTTTTCATGCATGAGTGAGCCATATGCCTAGAACCCCCAAACAGCACTTTTAATGGTTTCTCATTAAGTTTAAAGTGGGAACAGAGTCAAGGGCTTTGTTGAGAAATAGGTAGTTCAATAAGTAGCTGAATGATCACAGAATCCGTGCTCCATACAATACCTCAAAAATCATCTAGGTTCAAACCCTTCATTTTGGATAAAGATAATGGAATCCTGAGAGCTAACAACCACTACATGAAATTTCAGGCCATTCCTAACCAATCTGCTCCCACAAAATACTTCAACTCCCACAAAGCATCTAATGCAATTAAAAACTAAAGCTCTTTATCAAACTAACAAATAACCTATGCAATTTAATTTTAATTTTTAATTTAATTTTTTTATACAGACACACATACACACACACACACACACACACACACACACACACACACACACACAAGCATACACACCATTTAAAAAGCAGCTTTACAGCCTAAGAACTCTCCTTACTTCTCTAATCCAGTGGTTTTTAGCATCCTTCTACTAAATCCTAATTTCATTTGCAAGTGGAGATAAATGCTCACTTTAGCAATTCTTTGTTAATAAGTCTGTGAGTGATAATTTATGTCAAATGGTAATGAGATCCTTTGAGATTTTCAGTAATTTTATAACAATTGAATTTTTGTTTGTTATTTGATTTGTTTCACTGATTATTTTCTTTCTTTTCTTCTCCTTCCACAAAAAGATTTATGATTGTCTTAATAGTCACTATAGCTTTTAACTTTAAATAAACATATATTAATGATCCTAGCATCTATTATGATTGTTATTTTTTCCTGATATTTGTTAAACTATCAATGAGAAAACTTTGAGAACTCTTAGTAACAACTCTTAGGAAGGGTGTAATTTAAAAAATTTTTTTTGATTGTGTGTTGTTATTTACCTCACTTTTCAAACATTTAGATATAAAATAATAGCTATATCTTATGAAATTAACTCTATCTGCCCCTCAAATGACAACTTTTAGTCTTTTCAGCCACTGAGAGTTTTTTGTAACATTAATATTTTAGAATGTGCAAACTTCATTTTAAAGATGAAACAAATGTCTAAAATATATCATTCTCATTTAAGTGGAATAATGCCCATATAAAGATCAGCGTCTTCATAGCATGAAACTATCCATAAATGTGTTATATAACTTTAAAATTAAATTTATTTTCTATCAAGAATGATCATTCTAGAGTCATGATTAATTCTAAACTATTTCATCTCGATTGTTAGAATATTGACCACTGTAATGGTTCTTTGATCCCTTTATCCATTTTAGCTTTTAGAGTTTGTATCCTAATCTTTTTATACTGCTTCAAACAAAAGTATAAATTAAGAAATAAGTGCCTATCCCAGCCCCACTTTCGGTGATAAGATTGTAAAAAGAAATGGGTTCATATGTTGGCCCCAGGCCTACTGGCTGAGGACACTGCAGAACTGACTAGGCCTATCTTTCTCGGCTTCTGATTTTTCTTTGAAGAGAATCATTGAGGTTTTCATTAAGCATTCTAAAGGACTTTTTTTTTTTTTCTTTAATGGAAATGGAATGCACTTGGTCTGAACCAGCTTTCTAAGAAAGTAAGTAATTTTGATCTTTGCTTATGGGTATGCAATTGACTGAATTGTGTCCCACCAAAATTCATATGTTGAAGCCCTAATCTCCAGTATGACTATGTTTGGTGACAGGGTCTTTAGAAGATAATTAAGGTTCAATGAAGTCATAAAGATGGGATCCTAATCTGATAGAACTGGTGACACATTGGAAAGATGCCTCTCTCTCTCTCCACTCACGAAAACATCCAGAAGGCAGCCAGGAAAATAAATCCAATTGACTGGCACCTTGATCTTACACCTCTTAACCTACAAAACTATAAGAAAATAAATTTATGTTTTCTAAGCCACCCAGTCTATGATATATCATTAAGATAGCCCAAGTAGACTAGGACCATGCAAAACCATAAAATGTTATATCCAGTATAAAGATAAATGGTAGAATGCTGATTTGTCACCTGCTCTGATAATGTGTCCCCCAGTCATTCCTGCTCCCTCTCTTCCAATTCCATCCTTTGATTTGGGTATTTATTGAAGTATTTAAAGAGTGCTGAAAATGCTATATACTGAGAGGAGGAGTGGATTATGAACTTTGTCATTATTGGCCCCCAAATGGATACCTTATAGATAAGCCTAAGAGAATGTTTCCGTTGCTGCTCCTGAGAGGATATAAAGGAATAAGAAAATATTCAAGAGAATAACTACAAGATTTGTTTATGTGATAACCACAGAACACTAGAGGGGACTCCATGCCTACAGGGGATAAGGATCCTGACAACCCTAACATATTAGGACTGTACTGTTGCAGCTACTGTTAATGTTCATTTTCACATTTCTTCTTTTACTGAACATCTATTTTGACCTAGTTCAATTACATTGTGGTAAGAGAATGAAGATTATAGAATTGTTGTTTGTGATAATATTTTTCTTTTTGCATTTCCTTAGACAATTTCTAAAGATCCAGAGATACTGGAAAGTCTCAAGAAGGTACAAAGGTTTTTAGAAATCTATTAAACACATTTTACTTAGATCTTCCATATTCATGGTTTCTTCTTTCTTGAGTTATCAAAAATTGAGAAATGTATTACATCATATTAATTGAATTAACTGTGCTTACTACTCTGTATTTTTAATAGTGTTTTCTTCCTATAATCCAATAAATTCTATTGGATTTTAGTCTTGAATTGTGCCTCAGAGTAAAGGTTACCAAATTTTTATTTTCTACTACATCTTTTCTCTTTCAAAAATAGTTTTTAGATTTACATTCCACTTAAAAAAAATACAACTATTGGGCAACCCCCTTGGCTCCCCTCCCACTCTGGGAGCTTTTCTGTCCTCTCAATAAATCCTACTTAGAAAAAAATACAACTACTTAAACATATTATTTCTTTATTTCCAGACCTTTGCTATTATAATTTTCTGATGCCTAAACTATTCATTTTTACTTCAGACCTTATTCATTTGGAACAAGATTATCTAAGATTTTTTCTCTCTTTTTCATGATGAGAGAAAGATGATGGCAAGAATTATGAAAGGCTCTGAATGCTCAGCATTGTTCCATTGTCTTCTGACATTTAGTGTTACAGTAGAAGTCTATGGTCAGCCCTATTTTTGTTCATGCATTTTTTGCTTGTTTTCTTTTTTGCTGTTTGTATCTAGATATTTTAAGATATTTATTTATCTTTAATGAATTTAGTCATTTTCTTAATATTTATCTAGGTATAGATGTCATCTTCTATGGAACAGAAATGGCACTTTGCATCTGCATACGTATTTTTAGCTCCAAAAAATCCATGTATTAATTTGATTATTGTTTTCTTTCATTTATTTTGTCCTCTTTTTCAGAAACACAACTTATTTGGGGGTTTAGTTATCTGGTTTTAGTATCTATCATCTTCTTTCACTCATTTTTCTTTATTTTTTATTTTCCTCTGGGAGAGCTTCTCAATTTGGGATTCTGTTTCACTGTCTCCATTTAATATGACATCTACAGTGAATTTTAATTCTGCTATTGTGTTTGTAATTTACTTGAAGTCTTTATTATATTTATTTTTATTTTACCCATATCCTTTTTTTTAAAGAGTTGGATCTCACTCTGTCATCCAGGCCAGAGTGCGGTGGCATCATTAAGGATCACCAGAGCCTGAACCTCCTGAGCTCAGGCCATCCTCTTGCCTCAGCCTCCTTAGTAGCTGGAACTGCAGACACATGCCACCAATCTCAACTAATTCGTTTTTACTTTTTGTAGGGACTAGGTCTCACTATGTTTCCTAGGCTGGTCTCGAGCTCATGGGTTCAAGAAATCCTTCCACCTCAGACTCCCAATGTGCTGAGTACAGGTGTGAGCTACCATACCCTGCCTCCATTTCCTTTTCCATCTCACTCTATGGTTTTCCAATTAACTTTATCTTCTTTTATGGCCTCTAGCCACTGTGTTCATGGGAGAATGTTTTCTGGTGTCACATTAAGAGCATCAATTTCCA